CTGTTGGCTGGAGACCCTCCAGACCCCAAGGGGAGGATTTGGGCAGGGCCTTAGGTTTCGCCAACTGAAATAAATCCCTCCTGCAGGACCTAGCTCACAAAAAGAGCACAACAAATGCTTTTGTCCCATAGCTAGGACATTGCCCAGGAAGTTAATGTCGAAAATAAAGGAATCCTAAGTGTAAAATTTTTGCAAATCAGCTGTGATCCTGAGCCCTGCCTCTCTACCCATCTCAGCTAATGCTCACCTCATCTGCTTCTCCCCGTGGAGGCCTTTGCTCAGCCCTTCACCTTCTGCTCTCTTCCTATTATCTTCCAACCACCCCACCCTTGATTTTTATACCATTCAGAAGGTAAGAAAATTCCAGGATCCCTAAGAACCAACCCTTCCCACCTCCACTCCTGCTGGGGGCCCAGCTCTACGATGACTGTCTCCAGGAGCGAGCACCAAGCCTCTTCACTTATTGCCAGGCCAGAAGTCTGGGGAGCCAACTGAGCCTTGCAACCAGGAAGGTTGCCATTTATGGAGTACTCCCAGAACACAGATCACAGAAGCAGACTGTTCCTGGTGGAACAGAGGATCCATGACTCTTTCCCTCCATCCTCCACCTGCACCAGGCACTTAACAGTCATCCTACACAAGATAGAAGAGCTCTCACCCAGGATGCCTCAAAACAGGCAAAGATGAGTTGAGGGAAAAATCACAAACGTTCAGGGTGTGAAGGTGCTGGCATGACTGTGGCCAAATTCAAGAGATCTTCCTGGAAGAGGGCGGAAACTGGATTCTAAAGAATGCTGTCAACAGTGGGAATAGAACTGTGAATTCTAGGCAGGGTGAGAGTCTACAGGACAAGCAAACAGACATGAGGACTAGGGCTATAGGATGGACCCTGGGCCTCCTGAGAAAAGGAGGAAGCAGCACAAGCAGTGCCCAGAGCTGGGAAGGGTGGTGGAGGAAGAAATGATCCCTGAGAAATGATGGAACCCAGGCTCTGGCAGGTGACAGAAGCTGCCCTAGAGTTTGAAAGGAAAATCAGGGCAAAGGCTATAGAAGGAGGGGCCGGCCCGTGGCTCACTCGGTAGAGTGCGGTGCTAATAACACCAAGGCCCCGGGTTCGGATCCCACATGGGGATGGCCAGTTCGCTCACTGGCTGAGCGTGGTGCTGACAACACCAAGTCAAGGGTTAAGATCCCCTTCCCAGTCATCTTTTTTTAAAAAAAGAACAGATCTTGGGCTGGCCAGTTAGTTAGAGCATGGTGCTGACAACACCAAGGAGGGGCCGGCCCGTGGCTCACTCGGTAGAGTGCGGTGCTAATAACACCAAGGCCCCGGGTTCGGATCCCACATGGGGATGGCCAGTTCGCTCACTGGCTGAGCGTGGTGCTGACAACACCAAGTCAAGGGTTAAGATCCCCTTACCGGTCATCTTTAAAAAAAAAAAAAAAGGCTATAGAAGGAGGCTATGGGGGTAGAAGTGATGCCCCCCAAGTAAAACTGAGGCATCCCTAACAGAACCAGTCCCCAGAACAATGTGCTCCCCTCAGGCTCTCCCTTTCCCTCCTGCCTGGCCTAGCCTATTCCCACTCCTCTGGTGGAAGGGCCCTGTTGATTACACCCTGTCAGCATCCTTCCACTCAGCACTAATTGAACAATTTTTCTCTCTCCTAGTAAGCAAGAGCCTGGGGAAGTAGAGAGGGGTTGTGAACACATGTGCAGTCCAGGGACTCTGGTACCATGGCTCAGGGAAGACATGAGCTCCTTTCTCTCTAGATCCTCCCCAGAGATTGGGGAACAGGTTCCAGAGAACTTGGTTCTTGTTTGCTGTTCTCCCTTTGGGCTCTCCTTCCCAAGTGCAATCCTTCCCAAATGCAAATCAAAAATCCACAGCCTGATATCTTCATCCTTTGTCCTGTTCCAGTCCTTTCCCCTCCTTCAGGTATTTGCAACTTGAAAGTGGACAAACATTTAAGATAAAAGGATGGTTCTCATTGTGGAATGCTTCAGAATGCTGGAGGGAAGACTTTAGGGCAGAGTTCACTAGGGAGGCCTGTGCTTATATTAGTAGGCCTCAAAGAAGTTTCTCTAGATGTTGGGTGTGTGCTCTATGAGGTGTAAGAAGTAACAGTACTTTTATAAGCCACAGTGAAGTCCCAGTGTGGTGGGGAGAGGGGATTGACATCATACCAACAATATGGGGGAACTAAGACAAATGGTCCTGCCCAAGTAAGGGTGGGGCATTAGGGAATAGTCACTCAAGTTTATTTTCACCAGGCTCCAAAGAAAAAGAAATGAAGCAACTTAAAATCCTGTCAAGGTGGACACCACTATCTAAGGTGTTCAATCTCAAAGCTCTTGGTGGGGATGGGGAAGGTATTCTCAGCATGAGATAGGGATCACGCTGTGAATCAGTCTGAGCTGACAGAAGATACCAAAATGCAGTCCTTAAGAAGCAAAAATCTGGGCCGAACCAAGCTCCAGGCTCCACTGGGAGGGGAGAAGGACCCCTAGCTACACAGCCTAAGGCTGTGAGAGAATCAAGGCAGCTAGAGAGTTGGGCACCCACTGAGTACCAGATCCTTTATCATATGTAGTTAACCCTCACAATAAAGCTGCGCCATGCACACTGTAAACCCCATTTCACAGGTTCAGGAGCAGCTTCAGAGAAATGACAAGACTGGCCCAGTCACTACTGAGTGGCAGATTAGACCTGACTTGATTTGGATCCAGATCTCATCCTCATCCCACTATTCCACAAGACCTCCCACTCTTGAGGGAACCTGCACGTGGGCAAGTGCACAGCAGACCATTTCCAGCCGCCTCTTACTAGTGAGACAAGGGGGAGGCTGTTCAAGGTGAAACCCACCCTGCCTCTGTGTCCCAAGGCTGGACTGAGGGCAGGCAGAAGTCAAGGTAGAGAATTATTGCTGGGGTCTGCAGCCCCTGACTCACTCTTATCTGGTCTCATAGAAATGAATCCAACCACCTAAGTAACCTTTCCAAATACATAAAGCTCACTCATTTACAATTTAAAACGTTTTTTAAAAATTCATTTTGGAAGGAAGTCATTCTAAAATGTTACACTCACCTTCAGTATATCTGCAATATAATAAAAAGTTTTCTGAATAGCTGAGGATCTTAGAAACCAATGGCTTCTCTATAGCAGTGTCTTCAGAAGCTGTTAGCAGTGGGGGGGTGCTATTTGCCTTTATGCTAAATGAACTTAGACCACTTTTAGAATGCTTATGACTACTTTAAAAGGATTTTTTTTGGGGGGGGGGGTTGCCGTACTACTAGTGTCACTTGATGCTGTAAGTGTGCTTTTTTGTTTTGTTTTGTTTTTGTTTTTGTTTTTTTTGTCTTTTTTCGTGTCCGGCAACGGTACCGGACCAGGACTGGCAACGGGATCGCAACCCTCGGTGTTGCGCCCGCACCTCGCTCAGCCAGTGAGTGGGAACCGGTCTGTATGTGGGATCCGAACGCTTGGCGGGAGCGCCGCTGCGCTCCCAAGCGGCGCACTGTAGCAGTGCGCCACCAGGCCGGCCCATTGTTTTTTGTTTGTTTGTTTTATTATATGGTGGCTGGCCGGTACAGGGATCTGAACCCTTGGCCTCGGTGTTATCAGCACAAAGCTTTAACCAAGTGAGCTTACTGGCCAGCACCTAAATGTGCTTCTAATCTACTAGTACAGAAACACACATGGACACATTAAAATTGTGAACAAAGTAAGGATAAGTAGGCCATGATTGAGGACTGGAGAATCTATCTAATGAGTAAAGTGCATGAGTATTTTAGCTGCTGAGAGTCCTTTCTGCTCCCTCTAGCTCCTGCACTATTGCCCTGTAGCTGATCTCCAGATAAGTGAAGTGTCACTGCACATTATCCCCAAGATTATTGTTTGCCTCTTCCATTGGAAAAGTCCACTGAGGATTACAATATAGATTGTTCCCAATAATGGGAGACAGTTGGAATATTTAAAAGAAGGAAAGCAGGATATTGTAGAAATGAAAAAGTCTTTGGCATTGGAAAAATTTGGGTGGGAATCCTGGTGTCCCTATTTTCCAGCTGCATGACGGCTTTGAGGACAGGGCACCGGGCCACCACTCTGAGCCTTAGAGCCACGAAGATGAAAGGAGATCATGAAGGAAAGTGGTTAGCACAGAACCTGGCAAAAACGGGGTGAGAAGGGGAGAGGAAATCAGAATATGTGTTTGGCTACTTGATGGTGTCAGGAGGAAGAGGACAAGAGTGGGAACAGGAAGGGAAAGGGAACGGGGCAGAAAAAGGAACAGTAAAGGAGACATGCTATTCAGGCTTCCCACAAAGAGGTAGACGTCTTCCATTGTGTATCTGCCTTGTGAGCCCAGAGAGCCTGGTGGCTGCCCCAAAGAGTGCTGTGGGGAGGTAAGGGAATTGGGGGATGGGGTTGGGATGGCTGGCACTCCTCACCCCCCACTTAAGATTGGGAGCTGCTTCTTTGAGAGGGCTAGCTTTTCTATCCTTTTCTGCCCTCCTTTCCTTGCATCTCTTTTGGGCTACTTCTCTTTCTTTCAGATCAGCTTTCAGACCTTCTGCCTCTTGCCTTTTTAGCCACTGAGCACCCACTCTGGGCTGCACACTGGGTTATAGGTTACGGCGCTGGAAATACAGAGACAAATGACACATAGTCCGGGTTCCTGGAAAAAGACCTTCAGCTTCCCAGGATCCCTTCTTCCTGTCACCCTCGGCTCTCTCCCCACCTCTCTGAACTCCTGTCTCTTCTGCCCCTCTGACTATTCTGTCATGCTTTAACCAGGCTCCACCATGTGTGTGCTCCCAGAGGGAAGCAATACAAAGGAAAGCCGGGGGTGGGGGGGGAAGGAGGGAATCCCGCTGACATCACTGCTCATTAGCATATGTGACCTCACCAGGGGGAGGGACCATTTCCCCAGGTGTCTGGGAGGAGGGCGTGTGTGTGTGGGGGGGTTTTAAAGGGAAAAGCTGACAGTGCTGCTGAGTGAGGGAGCGGGTGTTGCGAGCGGCTGGGCTGCACACGCACACGCACACCGATGCACACGGACCCTGATACCGACATGGACATGGACACAGAAACCACAGCACTCTGCCCCTCTGGCAGCTGCCGGGCCTCCCCACCAGGGACACCCACACCAGGTGAGGGCTAACCTGGGCAGCTTTTGGCTGAAACCATGGGGGTGGGAGATGAAGCTTTGGTGGGGAGGTCAGAACTAGGGGTTGAAGAAGCTTGAGCCCAGTTAGCAAGAGGGGAAGTGCAAGTCAGGAAGTAGAGAAAACCCCAGCTCACATAAGGATTGGGGCTGGACTAGGGTGGAGAGGGAGAAGAGCTGCCTAAATGCCCCCTCCCCCATCACTCTCAGGGCTTTGCTTGAGGAAACTGGTATATGGCTCCTAGGTCAGCCTCATCCCCCAGTTGGGTAGGGCAGATGGTAAGGGGGGAAGGAAAGGGGCAGCCCACGAGCCTAGGAATCACAGGCAGGGGGCTACCCTGAGGACCTATTGTAAGGGTTTCTTTTGGCTCCTGGAGGCCCTGGCTACTGGCCAAGTATTGACCGTGGGCTATTTCCAGTCTCTCTCCATCCCATTTTGTTGTGTCTGTTGTTCCTCCTCTAGTTACCCTGACCCATGCATTGTCACTCTCCCTTGCGCTAACACTCACACACACTCTCTCTACCTCTCCATGAACACAATATTCTTTCCCACTCACACGGACAGCTAAGGATACAGAAGGATTCTCACACACAACCATGCACTGGGTATGCTCACCTACAGGGCCACAAGCAGCACCAGCCCCCCCACCCCACACATACATACCCCTTCACAAAATCACACACAAATCATCTCAAAGAGAAAAGTCCTTTCCCTGGGAACAGGCTCCCCCAAAAGTTTTTGACTCTGCTCGTACCTACTCCCCAGAACCTGAGCAGCAGTGTCTGCTTTTTATCCCCTCCTGTTTGGTGATTACCAGTGCAGCAAGCAGTAGGAGGCTGAGCCAACCCCACCCCCGTGAGCCAGAGGCCTAGTCTAGGGGTGTGCCTGTGTATCAGTGTAAACTGTGAGTGGGTGTGAGTCTGTGTGCAGGTGCCTCCCCTGCATGGGGCACATTTTGAACAGACTGTGGCTAGGACCACACTGGGAAGCCATCATGTCAGCTCCTTGGAGGCTCACCAGTTCCGGCTTCTGGGGGAGTTTAGTATGAGGTCAGGCCAAAGATTCTATTCCTTCTTAGTCAGGGTCATCGACTGGATGTGGCTGGGCCTCTGAAACTGCAGCAACCTGGATTGAGCCCTCTGCCAATAGCTGGGCGTACCCTACTCATTCCTTCCTTTTCTTTGCCCTACCTCCCCTCCCCCCCAGAGGCAGATGCCACACTGCTGAAGAAACCAGAGAAACTGTTGGCAGGGTTGGACCGGAGCGGGCCACCCTCTGCCCCTGGGGCCCCCAGACGAAGAGGCAGTATGCCCGTCCCCTACAAGCACCAGCTGCGAAGAGCCCAGGCTGTAGATGAACTTGACTGGCCACCTCAGGCCTCATCCTCTGGCTCCTCTGACTCTTTGGGCTCAGGGGAGGCAGCCCCTGCCCAAAAGGATGGCATCTTCAAGGTCATGCTGGTGGGGGAGAGCGGCGTGGGCAAGAGCACCCTAGCAGGCACTTTTGGCGGTCTCCAGGGAGACAGTGCTCATGAGCTGGAGAACCCAGGTATTTGGGGGAGCACTGAGGGGTTGAGAGTGTGCTGAAGCCCCAGTCAGGGATGGAAGTGCTCATGGTATGAGCAGCCCCTAGAGGACAGAACCTAAGAGAAGCTTCTCCAGTGCTTTTAGTGGCCTCTCTAAAGGGGGTTCCCTGGTGCTGGCATCGAGGTGTCCCTGGTTACCAGGAGTCACAAGTGTTGAGTGGACTTTATTCCCTCTATTTCCCAACAGTGGACACCTATGAGAGACGCATCATGGTGGATAAAGAGGAAGTAACTGTAGTTGTTTATGACATCTGGGAACAGGTGAGAACTAAGATGTGGCTGCAAGCAGGTAATGAAGCTGGACAAACTGGGCAAGGGCAAAGTCTGGCTGAAGGCTGGTGGGACTAAAGGCCCTGGTTTCAACACATACTGGAACCTGACCCTTTTTTTTTTTTTTTTTTTTGGCTGGCCATATGGGGATCCAAACCCTTGATCTTGGTGTTATAATACTGCACTCTAACCAACTGAGCTAACTGGCCAGCCCTGGCTTTCATATGTATCAACTCAGAGAGCAAAGGCCCACACCAATGTGTATATCATGGCCTGTGACCATAAGAGCCACTGTCTTTCTGGGATCTTCCGATCCAAAGGAAAGTTAGGGTCTGAATTTGACAAACCCTGCAGCTGCAAGCTAGGCTGGACACCCTGAAATTAACCCCATCCATAAATTTTTCAGCCTGGAAGAGTCTGATGTGACAGGACAAGAGCTCAGGGCTCTGGAATATCAGGAAGGGGAAAAAAACTAAGGACTTCTGAATATTTGGACATAAAGGATACTATGTAGAAACCAGAGGAAAATTATATACACCTGAATGGCATTCATTTTTGAATGGAGAACTTAAGCATAAGGAAGTAGGATGGCTACCCTAATTAAGGATGCTATGTCCCCAATTCCTCCATATAGGGCTCACATTACTAACTTCTTCTTTCCCCACAAACACACTCTGGGTATGGAGATTCTGCCATTAACTAGCTCTGCTGTCCTAAGCAGGTGATTTCTCCCTCACAGCTGGATTCCTATCTTTGAGATGTGGGTGGACAGGATCTCCCAAGCCTCCAGCCCTAACGTCCCACGACTCTCTGTCTGCAGGAGGATACAGGGGGGTGGCTGCGGGACCACTGCCTTCAGACCGGGGACGCCTTTCTCATCGTCTTCTCAGTCACCGACAGAAAAAGCTTCTCCAAAGTTCCAGAGACACTACTTCGGCTCCGGGCTGGGAGGCCCCATCACGACCTACCTGTCATCCTCGTTGGAAACAAGAGCGACCTGGCCCGCTCTCGGGAGGTATCACTGGAAGGTGTGTATCCTGAACCGATTCCAAACTGGCAATCTCAGGGGAACGCTCTCCCTTTCAGGTCACCTCTTTTAAGGCCTTTTTACCCTCACTGGCACACTGACTTGCTTGTATTCAGCTAAAGGCAGACCCCCAGTGCCCAACTCCTAGGGCCCTGAGAATCCCTTCTCTTCACTCCCCTTACCTGTCCTCCAAGGCCCCGTTCTCCTTCACCTTCGCATCTCCACTGCCCCACCATAAGATCGCAGCCCTGTTCTCTCAGTTGTGAGTCATCCCTTTCCACAGCACGCCCAGAGCTCCCCAGGCCCACCCTTGCCACCCGCCCAGTGCGGCTGGGCGAGCGCCTGAACTGGTCCCTTCCTGCAGAGGGCCGCCACCTGGCCGGGACGCTGAGCTGCAAACACATCGAGACATCGGCCGCCCTGCACCACAACACGCGGGAGCTCTTCGAGGGCGCAGTGCGTCAGATCCGGCTGCGGCGGGGCCAGAGCCGCGCTGGGGGCCAGCGGCACGAGCAGGGCAGCCCCGAGGGCCCCGCGCCGCCCGCGCGCCGCGAGAGCCTCACGAAGAAGGCCAAGCGCTTCCTCGCCAACCTGGTGCCGCGCAACGCCAAGTTCTTCAAGCAGCGCTCCAGGTCGTGTCACGACCTCTCAGTGCTCTGAGCCCCGGTCATGGCCACTGCGGTCGCCATGGCCACCGCGCCCTCCGTTTGTTCCTTCGCCCCGCCCGGTCCGGCTTCCTTTGTGGAGGCCGTCTAGGAAACCAAAAACTCCCAGGATGCCCTGGAGTGACCGCGGGGTCGGACCTCCAGCCCCCAGCGGTGGGGAGCGGGGGGCGCGCCGCCACCCCGCGTTCTCCAGAAACCTCCGGCAGGGGAGCACCTGGAAGGCGAGGACGCAGACTGGCGGGAGGTGAGGGCGGCGCGCTGCGGCCGGTGGGCGGGGCGGGTTCTGGCGGGTTAGGAAGGAAAATAGTTCTGCGGGGTAGCTCGTCTTTTATTATTCCGCGTTTGGCCACCTCTGCTGTAAACAGAGTCTAAAAGCGAGAAGTGGAAAAGCGTTTTGTAGATTCTTTGACGGAGTTACTTCCTTCGTACTCTGCGTGAATATGCCTCACCTTTAAGAGATTCTTAAAGGTAAAAACACAAAGACTCGTCTTCCTTAGACTTTTCCAGAAACGTCCTGGCTCTTTTCTGCTGCATTTGTCCACTTGCCTTTAAGAAGATCTTAAAGGCAAGAGCTTGGAAGTGCTGTTGTTGACATTTGATCCTGTGATTTACCCTTCCACCACGGCACTTCCCCTTTAAGATTATTAAAGGTAAGGTGTGGACAGACTTTCTGCCCTCAGATGCTGTCGTGAAGAGCTGAACGATGGCAACCCCTTTTGGCCAAGGCCCAGGAGGCACCAGCAAGGGGCCTCCTTCCCTTTTCAATAAATAATTTTTCTACTGTATCTGTTCACTTTGACTCTCTTCTCGGAGTTCCCAGGTAAGGGATGGATGTGGATGGAAACTGCTGTTACAGACAAGAAGTGAGGCCCACAGGAGCAAGGAACCTAAATCTCTATGGAGGCTCCAGAACTGATTTGGTCCTGGGGTAGTCCACGTCAAAGGGCCACAGCCCCTTACGGATAATCGGGTCCACTTCATCCATTAGAAGTAATTTTATTTTATTTTATTTATTTATTTATTTTTATTATTATTTTTTTTAAAGATGACCGGTAAGGGGATCTTAACCCTTGACTTGGTGTTGTCAGCACCACGCTCAGCCAGTGAGCTAACCAGCCATCCCTATATGGGATCCGAACCCGGGGCCTTGGTGTTATCAGCACCACACTCTCCCGAGTGAGCCACAGGCCGGCCCAGAAGTAATTTTAGTAACTTACTGACACAGTGACCAAGTCTCCAGATTCTGGGCCGCATTTCCTTACTCCTCCCTATCCTGTAGGGAGCAAGGTTGAGGCTACGTTTAGCTCCCAGAGGTACTCAACTTTGACTTGGGCTGGTTCTAGGTAGGGCCCATATCCACCAGGGAGGCCCATTAGTTAGGACATGATGGGGTCTGCTTGCACCTTCCCGGACTGGGCCCCACAGACACAGTTGTCATCTGCAAAGCCCAAATGAGTTCTGAAGCTGTCACTGCCTCCCCTGGGGACGCCCACGCCTGCTGCTGCCTGAGCATGAGTTTGAACAAAGGGAGCAGAGGCAGCAGCCTCCCGCACCCCTTCAGCTACCTGAGCACCCGAGGGCTAGGCCTCCACCCCAACCCACTCAGCCTCCTAGAACTTGATGGAAAGAGGGATGAGATGCCTCTTGAGTTCTTGTAGCTAGGGAGGAGCAAGGCAAACCAACCCAGCACAGGTGGTTATGAGATGATAATGAGTAATGGCACTATCCTTAGGGCTTTGTACACTTTATCTGTTCTTTTTGTTTTGTTATTTTTTTGTGGCTGGCCTGGCCTGTATGGGATCTGAACCCTGTCTTTGGTGTTAGCACCATTATCTGTTAATTCTTCAAAGACTATATAAGGTGTTACTACCTATTTTACAGTGGAAAAAGCAGAGTGTAGGTAACTTGGCTGAGGTCATCCTGTAAGCAACACTGCTGGGACTCCACTCATGTCTGCTTGATCCTTAATGGTGATTTTATACTGCTTTGCATCTGAGACTCCCCTTTTAATAGAATGGGGGGCAAGAGGAAAAGGAACAACAGAAGAGATACAGGGACACAATGGGCAAGGCCATGTGCAGTAGCTGTGGTGAAAGAGCCAGAGAAATTATAAGGATATGATGAAGTAAGCAAGCTGTAAACTCTGGGGACTATGAACAGAGGCATTTCAAATTTTAAAATGCAGGAAAAGGGCCGGCCCGTGGCTCACTCGGGAGAATGCGGTGCTGATGACACCAAGGCCCCGGGTTCGGATCCCATATAGGGATGGCCGGTTGGCTCGCTGACTGAGCGTGGTGCTGACAACACCAAGTCAAGGGTTAAGATCCCCTTACCGGTCATCTTTAAAAAATAAATAAATAAATAAAAATAAAATGCAGGAAAACATACTGGGCCCATTAAGTGACCAGATGGTTCTACAGTTGGGTTGAAACCTCAGGGACATAAAGAGGAAGGGTAAGAGATGAGCATGGAAAAGGTTTGGAGTCCCACTACAAAGGACCTTAAATTCCGGGCAAAGGAGTTCATGCTCAACTCTGTAGACAGTGGGAGTCAGTGAAGGTCTGTGAGTGTGGAAGTAACATGAATAGGATGGTCCTTTGAAAAGAGGCAAGGCCGGGGGAGCTCAGTTTAGGGGCCAGTAACAGTAATACATATGGAGGGCAATGAAGGCATCCTGAAGAGGATGGTAGTGGGAAAAGAGAAGAGGCATGAGTTTGCAGGTCAGAACCACTGGGACTTGGCAATTGAGTGGATGGGTAAGAAAGAGAAGAGTTGCAAGTAGTGGGAGGATGGTGAGGGAATGAGAATTGGAAGGCAGAGGAGGTGGGGTGTGGAGTAAGTGAACTCCATTTTGGAGGCACTGAGTTTGTTTGTTTGTTGTTTTAGCAGCTGGCCAGTATGGGGATCCAAACTTTGACCTTAGTGTCACAGTGCTATACTCTAACTGATTGAGCTAACCGGTCAGCCACCACTGAGTTTGAGATGCTAGAACATCCATATGGAGAGTTTCAACAGCTCCCCGGATGGCTGAGTCTGAAATTCAGAACAAGTTTGAGCAGGAGACACAGACTGCCATAAAGATGGTAGTAAAAGGATAGATTTCAAGAGGAAAGGATGAGATATAGGGCTGGCTTTACAGATGTGTGACCTGTGCAGTCACACAGGGCCCCATGCTTAGTTTAATACTCAGCCGTCACTGTCTTAAAATTCTTTGAACAAGCAGGGCCGGCCCGTGGGTCACTCGGGAGAGTGTGGTGCTGATAACACCAAGGCCACGGGTTTGGATCCCTATATAGCAATGGCCGGTTAGCTCACTTCGGAGAGCGTGGTGCTGAGAACACCAAGTCAAGGGTTAAGATCCCCTTACCGGTCATCTTTAAAAAAAAAAAAAAAAAGAATGAAATTCTTTGAACAAGGAGCCCTGCATTTTCATTTTGCATGAGGACCCACAAATTATACTAAGAGAGATACTAAGGGAGAGGGGGCAGTACAGGCTGGGATCCTTAGCTCCACACCTCAGATGGGGTCTGTGATTCTTATCAAATGGTACATACAATCTGATGTGTTTGTACGGTCATGCATTTGTCTGAGAATAGTATTCATGAATTTCATCAAATAGTACTCATGAATTTCATTTCACAAAAGGGTCTGTGACCCAACAAATTACAAACCATTGATGGTACTGGTTGCCTCTGGGAAGGGGAACTGGGTAGGTAGAAGACAGAGGTAGGAGGTTTACTTTTCATTGTATGCCCTTTTCCTACTTTTGAATTTTTAACTATGGCATATATTACCTGTTCTAAAACTAAATAAAGTAATTTAAAGCAAAGCCTCAGTGTTCCAGAGAACGAAGAAGGACCAAGGAGAGTGCTGGGGATAGGTAGATGAAGAAGGCAGAGAAGCAGCCACCAAAGAGGTAGTGGAAGAACTAATATTGAGCATGTTTGGGCTCCTGCCAGAAGGGGGGGTTTCTAGAAGGAGAGTATCACCAATGGCCAAATGTGGCAAGACAGGAGGACGAGAAACAAAAAAATCCCAGTGCCTTTCATGTGAAAGAAGCTTAAAATATGTATGTTGGATATTAAATATATATATTGAATATTGAAGATGATAACTTAAAATATGTATATTGGATATTGAAGATGATGACAACAGATCTCATCATGATGGGAGCCACAAACCACAACCCCCCCTCCCATGATTGGACTCAAGCAGTCCCATCAGCCTGACCCATCTGTGTGTTCCCTCCAGACGCCTACAAGGAAGAGCTCAGAACAGATGGAAGCTGGAGCCAGGCTCCCCCCAGACTTGGGAGAGGTGAAGTTTCCTTTAAGAGCCAGTCCATTCTTCTCCCTCCCTCTGATTAAGGCAAGGTAGAGCCATGATCTGGGCTCAGGAGAGAGGTCAGCAAAAGACCCTGGGGCCTGAGCTATCTGCTTGCCAGTTAAGGTCCCCTGTCCTCTTCTTCCTCTTAACCACTGCACTCCTGTCTTGGGATCTGTGTTCCTTTACCAGCCCCTGCCCAGCCCCTACTACTCCCTCTCCCCTTTACCCACAAAGCCTCCTCACTGGCCCAGGGCACAGACTGGTGTGGTCTCCCTGATGGCCCAGAGAGAGCAACCCTGTGTCTGGGAAGGTATTTCTCTGCTCTGGGCCTCTACTTACAGGACCTGCTGCATCTAACCCTCTCAAGGAAACTGGAGCAGGGGTTGTCCTCTTCTGAAATGTTGCCAGAGTCAAGGGAAGTCCGCACACACACACACACAGACACACACAGAGACACACACACCTTTTTATTAACCTAACAGTTTCAATCCACATTAAGTAAATTTTTCCTGGACATTTTTTCTTTCATCCACAAATGCTTGAAGACATTTTGTCCCCCTCAAGTACTAAATACCTGCAATATGTGAATCACTGTGAGGCCCTATGGGGAAAACAAATACATATAAGACACTATCCCTGCCCCTTAAGTAGCTTACAATTAAGCTAGGAAGACAGGATGAGGTGGTAACAGCACTAAAATAGGCAAAACAGCAGCTGTACTACATTCTGTCTAACTGGGGGCTATAAAATGTGATCTAGGAATTGTTTTTTTTTTTTTTTTTTAAAGATGACTGGTAAGGGGATCTTAACCCTTGACTTGGTGTTATCAGCACCACACTCTCCCAAGTGAGCCACAGGACCACCTGTGATCTAGGAATTCTGAATGGAAGAAACAATAAACTTAGAAGATTTAAATTTTAGGAACTGGGACCTAAAGGTTATATAGGCTCTAGATAGACGGGGGGGAAAGGAGAAAACATTCTTGTGCTGAAACTAAATGAACAAATGCATAGAGGAGAAATGGTGGGCAGCCCACAACATGATGAGGAAAAGACCCTCTCTACACAGAAGGCAGTAAAATTTGGGTGAATGGTGCTGCCAAGTTGTCAAGGGCCTCCAAAACCAGACCAGAGCATCCTGCTTCTCATTCCTTTACCATCTTGGTGGCTCTCTGATGAATATGCTTAAGGTCTCTTTTCACTTATTTGAATATTGATGTCAAGCTTCCACAGCTTGGTGGCCTTGTAAACTCAAGATGTGAAGACAAATTCAGTGGGGCCTTGCAAGTTTTCCCATTAGCACTCAGAATGTGTTTCCTGGATGGGGGTCTGTGGACAGAGTCACTCTTAACCTTTCTGCTTTTCTGAACCTCAGCTATGCTATCCTAACTATAAAATGAAGATAGGGCCGGCCTGTGGCTCACTCGGTAGAGTGCGGTGCTGATAACACCAAGGCCACGGGTTCGGATCCCATATAGGGATGGCCGGTTCGCTCACTGGCTGAGCGTGGTGCTGACAACACCAAGTCGAGGGTTAAGATCCCCTTACCGGTCATCTTTAAAAAAAAAAAAAAAAATGAAGATAATAAGAATACCTACCTTGTAAGAAAGAGTCATGAGGACTAAATAAAAGGGCAAAGATCTTTGGGATCTGTCAAGTGTTATACAGATGAGCAGTGAAAGTAATGCTTTTGCAGCCTATGTCCTGGCCCCTTATTTAGGCACCCAAGCATCTTGCTAAACTCTCAAAGCACACCACCATTCTGGACATACAAATTTAAGTCATGATCCACAAGGTCCAGCATGCCTCCCATAGGACTCACAGGTAACCCATTATTGGATTTTATTGTCTGAGGGAGAGTTGGGGGGAAGACTGGCAACTTAAGTCTAAGTGACGGTATTGTATTGCACCATTTTTCAAGTTATAAGTTCAATTTTGTTCAAGTTATAACTTGTCTTTAGGCACAGGACCTGTGCTGATTTAAAATACTTATTCAGACAGGAAATTGCCAGGGTGAGGCTAGGATCTAGAGATCAACAAAGGCCACAGAAATGGCTTTTAGGAATGCTTAGGATGAGGGTGTTAGAAGGGATACTAAGCAAAGGGCTATAACAGAGTGCTCTGGAATTTTTCCCTGGCCAGACAAAGCAAAGGGGACTAGGTACCTTGAAGTTATGGGGGGAAGGTTTGGATGGGGGGCGTGTGCCTCATCTTGATTTTCGAAATCATCTGGTAGTAATCTGACATTGTGGACAGAGCCTCAGGCATAAAAAGATTGAAATAGTGGCATTTGTTTTCCTGAAAACTATGCTGGTTGTATGTGACCCAGGACCTTTTGAGCCTAAGTAATCTGACATTGTGGACAGAGCCTCAGGCATAAAAAGATTGAAACAGTGGCATTTGTTTTCCTGAAAACTATGCTGGTTGTATGTGACCCAGGACCTTTTGAGCCTAGGACTAGCCCAGGAAGAAGTAAGACTTATTTTCGTCATTGTCCCATCCTTGCCTCTTCCCCTGTAAACCTTGAGCATTCTCTAAAATTGGGGAGGAGAATAAGGTCAGGTGGAAAGTCGAGTAGGAATGGGGATAATGATGACAATAACAAGCTAACAAGTTTTAAGCCCTTCACACTTATTTAATCCTCATAACATCTGTATGAGATAGGTACTATTATAATTTCCTTCTTACAGGTGAGGAGTCTGAGCTAGAGAAGTGACGTAACTTACCCAAGCTTATTCAGCTAGTTCATGACAGAAGAGGGATCTGAACCACGCAGTGTGGATCCAGAGTGTGACCATTCTGCTACAGGGTGGAAGTCCCCTAGCTTGCTTGTGCCCAGTAGTGGGGAGGGGAGGCGGCCAATTCTCAGCACCACTCATTCTAAACAAGTAGGTTTTCTGATGCTTGAAGCTTCCACCCTTTCTGGAACACTGGCAAGAGTTTGACAAGTCTCTGATTTCCAAGGTCATTGTTTCCCCTTTCTACAATCTGTCATCGACTGGCTCTTTTCCAGTCTTCAGGCACCTCATCAATCTACCCATAGCTCTCAAAAATAACTGTTTTAATGGCTTTCCAGTAACTCCAGCCAGCTCCTTAAGGGCTTTTGAGAGCAGATCGTCTAGAACAGCTAACGGAACTTATCCAACTTTTAGAAGTGATCTTTGGTCAGCTCTTTCCTTGCTCCCACCTTCCCACATGATCTAAGTTGGTTGGTCTGCTTTACCTCACATTCACATAGCTCTCTCAACCAACAGCACACCTTGAGAGCAAACCAATTCTGGATATAGAGTGCCAAAATTGGAGGGGAAAGGATGTACGAAGCTAGAAGATTGAGACACATGGCTTCTCAGATCAGAATTCCTTTCCTGTCCTGCATCCAGCTCATGACTATTGCCTTCACCTGGTTACCATGGAAACATCAGTCTCTTGTGGATGGCAAACAGCACTTTAGTCAGAAAGTATCACAGGCTACCATGGTAACACCAAAAAGAGTGAAGCTGCATCCTCTCTCCTGGAGCAGTGAGGAAAGAATGGATGAGGCTGCTGGGGAAAGCAGGCTAGAAGGGACAGCCTCTGGAAATTAACTCAACAGACCTCTGATATGTGCAAGGCAAAGCAATAATGAAAAAGATATCTACGGCTGGCTTCATAAGGCTATCACCATCTAGCAATAGTTTGCAAGGAACTATAAAGGCAGGATAAGACCCACAATAGGAAAAAGAATACTGAAAAGGGAGATTAACTCCAACTAGGAAAGTTTCAGGGTGTTAAAGGACAGTATTTTGACCAGCAAAAGGGGTAAGGAAAAGAGAACGAGATGAGCAAAGACATGGAAGTAGCAAAAGTCAGGGTCTACTGGGAGCTATGGGTGTAGAGATGCGAAAAGTAACATTTCTCCTCATTGACTTTGAGGCCTTGGCTTCCATGGTGGAGCTGATAGGCAGGTAAGATAAAGATCAAGGGATCTGAAGCCAGATTGCTTGGATTAGAATCCCCAGTTTGCTAACTGTGTGATAGTGGATCGACTTATTTGATCTCTCTGGGTATCAGTTTCCTCGCTGACAAAGTAAAGATAACAAAACAATCTACCTTAGAGGGTTATTGTGGGGATTAAATATTTAATACACATAGAGTGATCAGAATCATGCCTTATCCACAATAAATCCTGCAAAAATGTTAACAATTATCATTATGAGTATGACACTCCCTAGCACCTCACTTTTCAGAGCCACGATAGCCTCTTTGCACTGCCCAGGTATTACTCCAATTCTCATCAGACTCTCCTTTAGAGGGAAAGAGGGATTGTGAAATAATATCTCCCTTCAAGTTTTTAACTCATTTCCCTTCATCATAAGTGCCAGGACTAAAGGTTCATAGGTCAAGCCCCTGCTTTCACTGGTAGTTCATATCTGAGAGTTACTGGAGTCTAAGAAGGACATGGAGAGAATCTCTATGCTAAGAATACAGCAGTTTAAAGAACAGGGAGGAAATGCCACTGCCTTAGAGAAGACAAGCATAGGCTAAAAGCCAAAAGTAGGTGAAAATCCTGTTGACAATTAAAGACTGGTGGATGGCCAGTTAGCTCACTTGGTTAGAGCACAGTGCCGATAACACCAAGGTCAAGGGTTTGGATCCCAGTACCAGCCAGCCACAAAAAAAAAAAAAAGAACACTGGTGCAAAACTTCTAACTATGCTTGGAAAGATCTGGGTCACAGTCTCATCTCCACCTGACCCTAGCCACCATGCTCAGGTAGGTGAGGTCAAAGGAGGTTTCTTTTACCTTACGCTGGACCCAGAGGCTGTTCACTGCCCCCTGCTCTCCACTCTAACCACCCCCCGAGGAATGAGTAACAAGAAGGCACTGAGTCACACACAGTGACAGCAGCTGTCACCCACTAGATGCTGTCACCTTATATGGGGTAAGAGAAGCAGTAGTCTTAGATGTTTCCTCACTTCCACCATTATCTTCCTCACTGCAAGAGGCTGTATAAGGAACTAAGAACAGGGAGCAGGGAAGACTGAAGTGGAAGGACCAAAGTGCAGGAAGGCCAAAAGTAGCTAGGGATAGGAGCATAAGGAAACCAAGCAGAGATTGGGGTCCATCTGAGGAAGAAGGCAGGGAGGCAAGGCCTGTGGGTGTTTATAATAGTTTGGAGGAGTCCAAGTCATAAGGTGACCCAGATCATGGCCTAAGGAAGACTAACAAAAATGGTCCCCTCTGCCCTTCTCAAGATGCATTAGCAGCCAAATCAATAACTATAGGGGGACTGAGTCATAGCCAGCAGCTCCTACCTAAAAATAATGCATCCTCCGTCCCTTCCCCCAGTCCCAGAAAGCAAACTAGGATAAGAAAGGAAGAAGTGGGGGTGGCATCAAAGAGCACAGGAGCAGCAGGTAAGACCACAGGCCTGGAACAATCAGGAGCTAGTTCAGAGTCCCAGTGGCCTTTTATGACACAAACAGGCCTCAAGTACTCAATGATTTAATGTTAAAAGCAACCCCTTAGCCTAATGTCACCACAAAACCATCACCTGCTTAGAAGTCTGAACTGACAGATTAAAACCTAACAGCAATTATGCATATTTTTAGCATAATAAAGTCTTAGCATTCTGTTGCTATAGAGATCAGTGGAGAATGGAGGAGCCCCACAGAGCACTGCCCCTGAAATTCAGGCCTTCTCCTTTCCCTTGGTCCCCAGGCTTGGAAGCCAGGCTCTTTCCCATCCCTAACAAAGCAGGCAGAGGAAGGTGCACCTCCTCTTTAGCAGGGCTATTCCTGGGATACTCAGATCCCCGGAATTCACTGGTCCCAGACCTGTATTATCCCAGAAAGAGCCATGTGGAAAGAAAAAGTTGAGGGGACTGACATTGAGGAATAATAGTATCAGGTTGGGAAAGCCCTGATACATAACGCCCAAACCCTTTTGGGTATTAGACTGGGATTTCTACTACAAAGACGGTCAAAGGTAGGTACAGAGGCCAATAGGGTAAGAATGGTGAGCTTAGGTGGCTTCTCTGGTACTTGGTAAGCTCCTCAAGTGGAAACACCCCTAAAGGAAGGCGCAGAATGTGCTACTGTCACACTGCCATCTGGTGGAAAGACAAGATTTGTCTTTCAGCACAGAGGAGGAGCCTGGAAGTCTTTCCAGTGGGCAAGTAGATATGGACATAGTTAAGATGAAGACAGATGCAGAAAGGAGACCATGAGGCCGTGGGTATAATGCAGGTACAGATGGGAACCCCACACAAGTGTGAACCTTTGGTCCATTTTTCTTTCTAAAGGTTAAATAAAACAAAATAAAAATAAAAATGAACGAAAACACAGTGATGTCATGAATCTTTTATATCTCTAGAACCATCATAGTTTGGGCTCAAGAGAAGTTAACATAGACAGACACACCAACTGACTGAGACCACACACATATGGACAGCAGCCGCCACATCAAGTGGGCTTGCCTTTTATACAAAGTTTATATATATATATTTATGTACACAGACACAAGGGTATAAAATCCAGTGAGAAGGGCTCACATGTGCCCAGGTAGGGAATAGGAGCGGCTTTGAGACCACAGTATTGGCAAACAGGAAGTGGTGGAGAGTAGCAAACTTCCTCCATGCTCCCATCCTGGGCCAAAGAGAGGACCTGGGAGGAAGGACGAGGATACAAAGGAAGATGCAAGATATTGGAAAGGTACCCCCACCTTTTACTAACCTCCTGAAAGCCTCTAAGATATCCAAAATGTCTGGCAGGATACATCACTCCCACACCTCCCAGCAAAATGCTAAGCCTGCAGTAGTTCTGGTCTCAAGCTGCACCAAGCAGAGGTCTAAGGTAGGCTTCACAATGCACTTATCTGTGCTATCTTCCAGGGCCCCTGTAGCATAAAGCCAGCACCTTCAAGGTTCACTCCCTCAAACTTCAAAGTCCTCTTGACTCAGAGGTCCTAAAGGTTTCCTTGACAGATTCCTTGACCAAGGTAATGGGATAGGAAAAGAAGAGAGGTCAGTTTCCTCAGTTAATGCCCTGTGGCCTTCCCAATGGGGGAGGTATCAAGGAATCTCTACGAGGTGGTTGGAAAGGGCAAGGTAGTCATCTTAGGAGACCATACACATGGATAAACAGATATTCAATGTAGGCATAGATTCTGTTCTCTTCAACTGCGGGTTTTGCTCAGCGGAGCCCATTCCCAGTGGGGCCATGGGCAGGAGCTCTTCTTGGTATCTAAGTGTGGCCCCAAATCCCCCAGAGTCAATGTCATGCCCTCAGGATGGCTTGGTCCACAAAATGGAGAGATGGGGCCGTGGAAGAGTAGATGTGGAGAAGGGAGTGGCAGGACCCAGATGCACAGGGAGGCAGTGTGCTGAGCCACTGATTTACCTATGGCAAGAAGAGGAGATAAATGGGCAGCCAAAAAAAAAAAGAGAATAACCAAAGACTAAAATAAGGTAGGCCCGGAGACTCACATGGTCTGGGGCGTAAAGAGGCTGGAGAGCTGGAAGCACTGGGAGGCGATTGCCTGGGAGGCGAGGTTCAGGGCAGGACTCAGAGCTAGAATAAAGAGAGGCAGAGTGAGTGAGCTAGTACAGAGCATTCCTTCTTTCCAGGCCCTAACCCTTCTCTCCCTTTCCCGAGTCCAAATCTACCAGTCAGAGCCGCTGGGTTTAGGGCCCCCAAGGGAACCGGTCCATTCAGTTGCAAGGCGGCAGCTTGAGCAGCAGCAGCGGCAGCAGCAGCAGCAGCAGCAGCTGTGGTTGGCAGCTGGATTCCAGAGCCTAAAAGGAGAAGAAAAGCTGGAGTTAAGTCCCAACCCTAGATCTAAAATCCATCCCCATGTTTTTCACCCTGCAGAGATACTCTACCTTCTGTCAGTTTGGCCATGAGCTGCAAATGTCCACCTGCTGCTCCCATATCCAGTTCCTGGTCCCCATCAGGAAAAGTGATATCTGTGCTACCATCCGGTCGCTCAGTCACATGGCCAACCCTCATAGGTCGACCAGCAAGCTCAAAGCCATTCAACTGTTCCAGGGCCCGCCGGGCACACTCAGAGTCAGAGAACTATGAGAAACCCAAGCCATGTTAGTCATCTCCTGGCCACAGATATGGTCTTAAAGCCCCATGAACACTCCTTAGTTCTACTATCCCAGGAATATTCCATGCTCACTGTGGTATAAACTTTTCTTTCCCAGGGAATGTGACTTAATATCCCCAATGTCCCAAAATGGTTCTCTGAAAAGGACCTTTTCCAGCTGATTCAATGGCAGTCACTTTTCAATCTTCCACTAAGAATCTAACAACGTAAAAAGTCTACTATCTGTAGGGAATCTAGTCTGACAGGCTGTTTCACAAATGTGCATATAAAAATGGAAGTAAGACAGGCTGAGAGACAAGGCTTCTGGGCTTTTAACTCAGCTCTTAGGACTAGTAAGTTTTAGTTCTCAGTCAAGTACTAAACTCTGGAAAGCCAGAGCCCAGGCTTGGGAGGAAACATACCCTAGTGCTGAGAACAAGACAGCACCCACAGCCCACATACACACCAGTGCTGCTGATTAAAGTGACTTGCTGACCAGAGGCCCTCTACTCTCTAGTTCTTCTCATCAGCAGCACCAGCAGCACCCCTGTGTAAAAAGGGACTCCCAGTCTGCTGTTTCTTTGTCAAGGTTGTTGACCTAAAAAGCAGCAACACAGTGACAGAAAGGCTCCAGAGAAGCCTTTCCACATCTGAGTCACAAAGAGAGCTTACTTAGAAGAGGTCACTAGCTACCACAGAATCATCAACACTACAGCTGGCTTTGTTTACTCTGGTATCACATGCCCTAGGGCCTGGCACGTGGTACCGGCAGTTTCTGGGCAGGTGATGTAGGTGGCCTGCTTCTACTGGATACTTTTGAGGTGAGCAATTCCCATGGTAGGACACAACCTACAATACTGTGGGCAACTGTGGGGGTGTATGCTGCTTGGATTAAGCCCAGAGAATGTAAACATCTATCAGACTTTATGTCTGGCAGCCAGTTCTCAGGGAGCAATTCCCATGGTAGGACACAACCTACAATACTGTGGGCAACTGTGGGGGTGTATGCTGTTTGGATTAAGCCCAGAGAATGTAAACATCTATCAGACTTTATGTCTGGCAGCCAGTTCTCAGCCTGAAGTCACATAGGGTTAGAAGAACCAGTTACAGGAATTAGAAATAATTTTTTTAGGAGTGTGAAGAAAATTTGAAACTTGCCCACTATTAGGTAGCCTCCTTACTCTCCCTATAATGCTATTTTATCACAAAGATCTTTCTTAATGGAGAAACTGCTTCAAATGAGGTAGAGCCAAAGGGCAGTATAACTTCCTATTCCCACCCTATCATGAGAATACACCAAATCCATAAAGCATGTCTTTAAAACCCCTTATCTAACCTCCTCATGCCCCCAACCTTTTAGCTGCAGCCTGGAATCATTACTATTACCCAAAGAGCAAGTTGCAGCACCAGGGAAGCTGGTTGAACTCCTGGACACCCCCATACCAGGGCCACTGACAGAGTGTAGGAGCAAAGCCAAGATCTCAAGCAATGCACTCATCTCAAGGGACAGAAGGCTAGTCCAAGCTTCAGGCACCAGGGTTTATGGGTCATTTAGACAGTTCCTAAAGGAGGAGGATGAAGCTAAGCTGCAAAATCAGACAAGTGGACAAACCCAAAGTGAAATTTAAAAATTAAAAGATTAGAGACTCACCGTAATGAAACCATAACCTTTAGAGCGACCTGTATCTGAGTCCTTCATCAGGACAATATTATCAATCTGTAGTAGAATAAGAAAGAATTATTAATAATCCTTTGACTAGCCCACACCTTTGATCTTTCCTGTCCAGATTACTCTAAATACCTCTAACCTTCTATAGTTGACAAATTACATCTCTCCAAATCTTCTTTCAAAAAGAGATGAACACTTTTCCCAATATTACTTAATTTGGAGCCTATTATTTGATTTCACTGTGTCTGACTTATCTGTCTACTGAGCAGCATGAATAGAATGGAGCCTAACTTTCACAGAATGGACCCATAATGCCCATTATGATGTATGCAGTGGGTTAATCATGGCCAAACAGAACCGTCCCCACTTTTTTCAGCTCTCTTCAGAGGTTTCCCTCACTTTCTACTCACTTTACCAAAAGGCTCAAAGATGCCCCGGAGCATGTCCTCAGTGATATTGAAGTGCAGGGAGCCCACATAAAGGCGCATTGGTCCACCACTGCCCTTCTGCAGGTTGTTGGCCATGGCTGCCAGTCGGTTTTTCTCAGCCTAGGGAAGAAAGAAATGATATGTCGTGACCCATGTCCAACCCCTCCACATCCTGCAATCTTGTTTTATGTCAATTTCTCAACCTGCTTACCTGTGAGGCCTGTACAATGATAGGCACTCCAAGCAGCCGTTGCCCAGTCAGCCCGATGGCCAGTGGCACAGATTGGATTTCACAGAATTCTACGTAGGCAATGCCCTTAGAACGACGTGAATTCCGATCTGAGATGATACGCACATCACGAACCTATCCAGGGCACAAAAGAAATCCTGAGTTGGGCATAAAGGGAGATAAACAGAAGATAGGCTACTCAGAAGAAAACTAAGGTGAGAGGGTACCTTGCCAACAGCAGAGAAAAATTCTTCCAGATCTCGAGGCCGAATGCGGGCAGCTAACTGCATACAGAAAACTGTGCGGGCATCACGCTCCTCAGGACTCAGATTATCAACAGGCTCCCTGGAAAGTAAAATGTGTTAAGGCCACCCCTCCCAATAATTGATCACTTTTTCTCCAGCTAACACTAAAGTACTACACATTCCTGCAGTTTGGCTCAAGCAAACACCTCACAATCCCTAAAAAAGTGTTCATTATCAGCTCACCTGACTGGGCTCTTCTCTCTGAAATGAGGACTCTTACTGTGTCCATATCTACGCCTAAGGAATAGAGAAAAACAAAAGTGAAACCAATGCTGGGTCTTCCATCATGAGAAAACCAGACTCCAACACCTCATCTCACATGGGAATTCTAAATACCACCCATTCAGTGACTGAGTATCCTGCCTATCACGATGGGTTATAAGCACCCTAAGGCAGGGTCCACAGGGCACTTGTTGTTTTACCCAGATTACTATACAAAGGTGATCATATTAGCAAAAGGTGATACCCAGTGGCAAGTGGAGGACTCCTGTAGCGAACACGATCCTCACGACGCCGGTCCCGATTTCTTGACTCACTACTATGTCGACGATCCCAGCTACGGCTGCGATGACGGCGCTGCCGATCCCGACTTCGGCTCCGACTATTTCTTCGTCTATGCCGATCCCGGTCTCGACTATGGCTACAGATGGAAATGACTTTTAAGTTTTTAAAAGACCAAACAAACCTCTTTTGGCCTTTAACTTATAGCCTACTCTGGTATCTTTCCATTTATGATAATTCCCAAGACCCAACAGCCCCCAGAATTACTAACCTGTGCTTCCTATCCTTGCTTCTACTATGGCTCCGACTCCCCTTCTTCCTGTGAAACAGCGTAAATTCTTACTACTGAGGTTTCATTCTCTCTCCCACAGAAAAAGAATGACAGGAAGTTCAAGGTGAACCAGAAAGCATCAAAAGACCAAAGCTTAGAAGATGATCTGGCACTAGTTCTCATCAACTGCACGACACTTACTTACACACAGCTCTGAATGATGTCAGGCATCAGAAGCGGCCATTTCTCCCCCCAAGCCAAGCAAAATCTTGTGTTTCCAAATCAGGGGTCCTCTTGCTAATATTATTCAAATGAAATGTATCAATGCTAGAAATGATCCACAAATGTACACTGGGAAGTGAAGACTAGAACATCATTAAACCAAGTGACCCTTATTCCCATGACCCAGTGGAATTATTACTACAAGTCAGCAGTCTTAAGAGCGACCACCTCTTAGTTCTGGCTGTTTCTCCAATGGATGCAGTTGTTACCCTTCCCCAAGCTGCCAACCCATTTCTTCACCCCACACTCACTTGCTTGTCTCCCCAGTGGTGCTGCTCCCACTGGTACCACTGCCATTGTTGCCGGTGCTATTGGTGGTATTGCTAGGACTGTCCTTTTTAACCTCTTTCTTTTGCTGCTCATCCTGAGGAGTTCGCCAGGAAAATATCACAAGGTACAAGGTAGCAGGCACACAGATTCCATTGGGCAAAAAGAACAAAGGTGGACAAGAAAGAAATCAAAGTTCTCAATTATCTAGCCAGTTTTTGAGCACCTGGATCTTCTATCAAAGGGAATAAGAGGAAACTATGCAAAAGGAAGAAATCAGAATGACAGATTTTGATGTCAAACTTCGGCTACCCAACATCTGTTCCACTGACATGCATTTCCCAGGAGAATGAGATATTGTCACTAGGCCTGAGTTACACTGACTTTCTATTGCTGTCACTGAGAGTTACAAGCAAAGCACACGTTACCACCACCGTGTTATGTGCCCACCCCTGCTTTTTTGGGGTCCTCTCTAAAAGTATGGCCCTTGAGTATGGGTCCCAGCAAAGCTTACTAAGACTATACCTTTTATGAATAGTCACCGTACATAATAAACAAGCAGGGAAAGAGGATTCACAAAATGTTGAAACTGATGATCCACAACTGTTCTTTCTTATTAAACAATTCCAGGAGTGAGGTGGGGAATATTACCTCCTCTTTTTTATAGGGAGCTTCCAGCATGGCCTCAATCACTATATCAAAGTCATCAGATGCCATCGTGTCAGATCTGAGGAGAGGATATCGATATATAAGAACCTGATTTATATTTTTCCTCCCCTTCCAGTACCATACATTCCCTTCCCCCTCCAAGAAACAGATTTCAGGATATACAGTTCTGTTTCTTGAACTCCAAAGGGATCTTACCGGCTGCCTGTTACCCTGGGTTTATTTTTGTACCTTAAAGATCTGAACTAGTTCTACTTGGTGACTTAGAAATGGCCAAGGGTCTAGAAAGAAACTGAAAACCTAGGTAGAGAGAAAATACAATACAGATGCCATCCTGTGAAGAGAAAATGCTGGTTACCTTAAAGATCTGAACTAGTTCTACTTGGTGACTTAGAAATGGCCAAGGGTCTAGAAAGAAATTGAAAACCTAGGTAGAGAGAAAATACAATACAGATGCCATCCTGTGAAGAGAAAATGCTGGTACTTAAAATTACTATTCACTTCACAATGGACACTGTGTTTCCATTCTACTGTTCAAAATTCTGAATAAATAACTGATTTAAACTTAAATTGTAAAAAATAAGCACATATTTCCAATAAAAAGTTGAAGACTAAAAATAAGAAGACAAAACAACACCAGAATGATAAAAATTTGCCCTAAGCTCTTCCCCACATAACCAAACACCAATAATTAGGGCCTTATCACTAAGCATTTTCTGTCCAATACCAACTAGAGTTTAGATAACTCAGAAATATTATGATAAAGACAGGCTTAACCAATCCCACTTTGAAACCTTTCTGTATGGCAAACAGGGTAAAACTTCTTGCCTCCCTTAACCTTTCACATCTAGCAATTGTCTTTCCCCAGTCTGTCCACCACAGGTCTGTTAAATAAGAAAAACAGAAAACACCAGACAAAATCAATAAGTTATTCAAAAATTACTGGTCTGGAATTATCAATACACACAACATGGATGAATCTGAAAATAATTATGCTGAGTGAAAGAAACCAGACACAAAAAGAGTAAGCACTGAATGATTCCATGTATATAAAACTTTAGAAAATGCAAACTAGTCACAGAAAGCACATCAGTGGCTACCTAGGGACAGGAGCAGGCATGGAGGGACCAGGAGGAAAGGATTAAAAAAGGGCATGAGAAAATTTGGAGGAGTGATGGATTCATGGATATTTACACATACCAAAACACATTAAATTGTACACTTTTAACGTGTACAGTTTTACTGTAAGCCCATTATATATATCTCAATGATGCTGCAAAAAAACCAAAAAAAAAACCCAACTAATCTGTGGAATTTCTATGCAAGGAGGCTATCATAATCAGACTTTCCATATCCACAAGGGCTTTGTCATCTTTAAAACAGCTAATGAGCTATCCAAAGATGCTGCCCTGGTTGTCCTCAGAGCCCATAAACCAATTTGATGATTTAGTAAGTGTGAGAATTACACCTATCATTTATAGTACCTACAACGGCTAAGCACTGTGCTAAGCACATTACAGAAACTATTCTTGGAAAGATAAAAAATTACTCGGAGCCAAATTTAAGGCTTATGATGGAAATCAAACCAAAATCAAATAGATATGTCTAAAAACCAGTGAACTCAATCTTTTACAATAATAACACCTTACATTTATTTAGCAATCAAAGGTAATACAGGTTTCAGGCAGATAATAATTAATCCATTCAAAGATTTTAAAAACTGAGGTTTTGTGAACTATCCAAAGTCACAGTTCAAATGGAGGAGTTAATTCTTGATTAGAGAGGTCTTCTAACTCTAAGTCTAATGTTCTATCCATTATATCAGGTTACCTCTCTCATGTGGCTTATAACTTAATCTTTTTTTGCCATCCCTCCCCCTATAACTTAACAGTGAAGGAAATTAAAGTACACAGCATATCAAGATGCCTTTTAAATATACACTCACTGAACATGAATGTTTTGATACGTTTATCAAAAGAATCAGTACCATTAGTCACACCTATTGTGAGGCTTCTATATCTGTGCCATGTAAAGTATATGCTTCAAAATATCAGGAACCAGACTAACTGTAATATATACAATCTGGTCCACTGTGGAAAAATGGTTCTAAAAATAAAAGTTTTTGATTCTCAAACTGTTCCTTTCAGTCATTTTGGCTGCCAAGTCCACACCAATTTTCTAATTGTTATAACATTTTTTTTTTTTTTTTTTTTTTTTTATCTGCCTTTTCTTCTCCAAATGAAATGCTTCTGATTTCAATAACTGCTCACTGTTGGGCTGGCTGGTTAGCTACACTGATTGATTACAGCGCGGTATTATAACACCTAGGTCAAGAGTTTGGATCCCTGTAATGGCTAGGGGCAAAGAAAAAAAAAAAAAAAAACTCATTGTTGAGTGCTAGCACACAAGGTGGGGGTAACTAACACACAAAAACTTTCACTTACGTAGACAATCCTCTATAAATGAACTTCTATATAAATATGAAGAAACTAATTAATGAACCTAGGCACATATACAACACAGCACTCTATTTCAAAACTTGCAATCTCACTGCGTTTAGTGGGTGTTACTAGATGTCCTAAAAGCAGTAAAGTGTCAAACACTCCATTTTCAGAGGTTGTTAGTTTTCATTTACTTATTTTGGCGGCTGGGCGAGAGGGCGATCTGAACCCTTATCCTTGATGTTACCAGCACCAGGCTCTCCCAAGTGAGCTAACTGGCCAGTCCTAGGTTGACAGTTTTCAAACTCTGACCGTGTCCTAATTTACAGGTCAAGGTCCATTCAATCCATCCACATATACACTATAGCTTGCTTCCACCCCTGCATTAGAGGCTCACAATCAAGGCAATGACTGGACCTTGGCATAGCACAGTCAAGACCCAAGCCAGCAAGTAAACCCCACTACTGAAGAGGCAGAGGAGAGTGATGAACCACTGTCAGCCCAGCGCAGGAAGAATTCACCAAACACTGTAGTCCCAGGGGTGATGCTAGCGCCATCTCCTGGGTCCGGTGACTGAGAGGCACAAACACCTCCAAACTGAAGGCAGCTTAATTAAGAACAGGAACAGTGAGAAAGATAAAAATATTTCTTGAAGAACTACCCTTACATATTGTGTAACGAGCCACGGCTACGCTTTAAAAAATAGTCCTATAAAAAACCGATTGGCACCAACTCTGCGAGAGCCAGTGTCCCCCCGCTCAATTCTCCTATGTGGCCTCACCATATATTTACTGAATTACGTGGTCAGAAAAATTAAAAAGGGAAAAGTTCACAAAGACCAATATAGTGAACTCCAGTCTTCAAAATACTGGGGATTGAGGAAGAAATCTCACTTCCCTTATCACCCTCTGAGTGGTGGCACCAATGACTGAAAACCGATCATAAATGTCCTCTAAGGCCATGGAGGTTCAATGCTCCCTCCCCAGAACGGGCGACCCTAAGTGTCATGGCTGCTGGGACCTGGAAAGAGAATCAAGTTACTGGGATCCGTGAAACTGCATCTTTACCCGTATAAAATATAGCCACGAGGGTGCCGATCTCCAAAAGCATGCCAGTTGGCTACATTTAGGTAGCGAACACTCCAGATCAAAATAAACCAAAAAGTACTTTTCCTTAATTTTTAAGTTTGTCTGATTCTGTTCATGACGCCATTTTCTGCCTGTGACGTCAGGGGGAAGCGCCGTGCGGCAACGTCACGCTTAAGTGACGTCGCGGGGGTAAGGGGTTTCAGGGTTTCTCACCAGTTCCGGGTCCCCGCAGGGGGATCCCGGTTCTCTCCGTTCCTTTCGGTGTGTTGGGAGGCGCGAAGCTCGGCTATTTCCAAGAGTAAAAGAAGCACTGAAGTAGGAGCTACTCCTCTCCTCTCAAAATGGCGGAAGCTCCGCCGTCTTCCAGAACCTTCCCCAATCTGCGCATGCGCTGAAACACAGGCGGTTGAACTAATCTCACTGGTATCGCGGCAGCAGGCCAAAGTACAGGTTTTCATTCGCTAAAATCCTAAGTATGGGTGGAGCCAGACTCAAATGTCTCTTAGCAACCATCAAGTTCCCGTTGATTGGCTAATCTCTCAGAGACGCATGAAACTGGAAGCGTCCTTTGGTAGCCGCCCATCACTCTGTCATTGGTTAAAAGACTTGCGGAAGGCGGGGAGAAGGGATCGAGAGCCGGGGTGAAGGACTCTTCGGTCTCGGTCACGGTGCTGACGCTGGCTAGGCCAGCCGGCCAGCCGCAGCCAAGGTGGGGGTACGATAGACGTCCTTGACTTTCCCTACTTTGACTTGCTGAGAGGGTAACGTCGGTGTTCCCCGGAACCCCTTTGTGGATTGCAACTGTGTTTGTTTCATGTCGGGGATGCCAGACTCCACACGACTGTTCTGAGCCCGTCGTCTACATAACCCTCCCGACCGCCTAACTAAAGACCTCCTTACTTCAGTGCTTGGGACCTGGGAAACACAGGTCTTGCCAGTTTTGTCTCCTTCCACACTTTGCCATGTCATCGCCCGGTCCCACAGGTCACATACCTTCAGTTCAAATCAGTGCCCCACACACCTCCCACTGCAGAGGTTAACCTGCCACAGTTTCTGAGGTGACTCCTTGGGTGCAGCAGTACTTAGCCCTCTAACCAGAAAGAAGGAACTGATGTCCATCCTCACTTTCCGAGTACTTCCAGGACCACCAGAGACTTGTTGCCTAATGTAGCTACCCAAAATGTAGCTGGTTATAACACGGAGAGAAGAGGGCCAGAGTCAGGACCTGAGTTCCAGTTCTCATTTGGATGCTAACACTACATCATTGTACTGATTTCAAATTCCCCCTCTGTGAAATGGAAAATTGGACTCAATGATCTTTTAGGACTTCAAACTCTAATCCTGCAACTGTATTCAAACAAAATGGGTGGCTTCTTGCTGGAGAAGCCTGGATGGCTTCCAGTTTTTCCTTCAAGAGGTACAGGAGCTGGCAAGTGCAGTGGCTCAGGAAGACAGATGGGTAGCTAGCTTCACTCCCTATCCCATCTTTCTCCAAGGTGGCAAATTCTATGCCTCCCCACAGAAAAGCATAACCACAGATCCTAATGGACAAGAGCTCATTGTAGCTGGTCAGAAAGGCCCATATCCAGGAGTCCAAGAGTTGCCACTCAGCTTCCTAAGTAGGGAGTAAAGCTAGGCCCCTTCAGGTCTTGGATACGATCAGGGTATAGATCTGAATATGTTTGGGTCTAAGTGAGCTGTGGGAAAACAGAGGCAGGGAGCAGCAGGTAGAGCAGGAAAGAGCCATAACTTTATTTGTATTTCCTCTTACACAAAACCATCAAAACAGGAACAGAGAAGAGCAGAGAAAGGGCTGAAAATTTGTTCAAACCACATGTTCTCAGGGTTATTCCAGGGTGAGTGCCTATTGGTGTAGCTTCAGATCCAGCACTAATTTCTCATGCCCTGGCTTAAATTCTTTACAGATTGGTCGCCTGAGCCCGGCAATTAATTCTTATCCCTTGATGTAACATAGGAAGGTAGACTGAAATGCTCCTCTCTGGTGGGCAAGAAGAATCACTGCCCATAGATGCACTGCACCTTCTGTGCTATAGGAGCAGAACCTGAAGCTGCTTCCAAAGCTCTGGACGCTTGCACACACGGCTAGAGGCCGATGGTGTATGAGCGGCCTGTGGGGTTGTGAATAGCAGAACAGACTGGTGCCGTCACAGCCCACTCATACCACACCTTCTTGGAATTGCTGCATCGCCAGAAACGCACACAGATGGTCTGGCCTTCACGCACAGTAATGGGCTGCTGTAAGAAGAAAGAGAGGGAGGTTCAGTGCAGAGCCAATGAATTTTATATGGCAATGTATTAAGGGAGGTGTGGAGCTGAAATGATAAACATGAAAGACTGTTCCAACCCTCCTGAAGCTTATTTGAAGTCTGTCAGAACACTGAACAATAAGACATTGAACAATCAAAAGTATGGAGTGTTGTGAACATGTACAGGGTACTATGAAAGCACCTATGAAAGGGTTTGGATCCCCCTACCAGACAGCCACCAAAAAAAAAAAAAAAAAGGAATGCTAACGTAGTCTAGGAGGTCAGGGAAAGTTTGACAATAGAAATGTTTAAGGAGACCTGGAAGATAAGTTAGCTGGGTGAAGAGATGAGCAAAAAGTTTACAGGAAAAAAAGAGGTGTGAAAGCCTGAGGCAGGAATGAAGATGGGTTATTAGAGGAACCAAAAAAAGGCCCATATGGCTGAAGCAAAGTAAGCAAGCGGACAGTAGCTGAAGAGGCAGGCAAAAACTAGACCATACTAAGTCTTAAAAGCAATGTTCCAGATTCAGACCTTTATCCTAAGGAAGTGGGAAGGCACTGAAGGGTTTTTAGCAACAAAGAGATAAGATCAGATTTGAGTTGTTTTTTTTTTTTTAAAAGATGACCGGTAAGGGGATCTCAACCCTTAGCTTGGTGTTGTCAGCACCACGCTCAGCCAGTGAGCAAACCGGCCATCCCTATATAGGATCCGAACCCATGGCCTTGGCGTTATCAGCACCGCACTCTCCCGAGTGAGCCACGGGGCCGGCCCAGATTTGAGTTTTTAAAAGATGACTTTTGCTCAAGGTAGAGAAAGGACAGAAGAGTAGCAACAGTAGATGTGGGGAAGTCAGGTAGAAAGCCACTGTAGGTAATCCCAACACCTACAGCCAGGATCCAAGAGCATGTGACAGCAGTAGAACATGGGTTATAGCCATGTTCCTGGGAAAAGGAAAGGGGCAGAACACCAATGGCAAAAGTTACTTCTTAACCTACATAATCTTAGAGGTGATGCCTACCTTAATGGGGAAGAGGATGGGAAACCATGAGAACATCCCAGGAGAGTGAGTCTCTGGACGGATACCTGTGTAGACAAAATAATGAAAAAACTGAGGTCTCCATGACTGTGCCTTTTGCCTAGGTTAAAGAGGGTCTCTTCTGTGATCACAGAAACAAGTACTCAAAGATCTCCATTCACTGACTCCTGGGCTCCCCATGAATCTAAATGAGACATGTATCTAAGCTGCCCGGGCAGCACACCCTCATAACCCTGCCATCCACTGCTTCAGATACTCACTGAGAGTGATGTCCTGATAAAGCACAGTCTCAAAGTAGCCTGCAAAGCCATGCAGTACTGTGTTCACCTCTATGGGAAATTCCAAGGTACAGTAACGATTGTTGTCAATCATAGGATCTGTCAGGAAAGAAAGACTTATGTGGGTGAAGAGGGGCCAAAAACCCTAGACAACCTGGTAAAGCATGAGCAAGACCCAGGAAGGGAAGCCTAAACAGGGCAGACTTAGGCAGCAGGGGAAGAAAGCAGGAGGGTGAGCTCACACCTCTCCAGTCAGAGGACAGCCATGCAGGAACCTACCTCTGTTGGGATGGCTAAAGGTGAAACAGGGTTGGGGCGCAGACAGCTGGTGGAAGTTGTGCAGCCGTACCACATAAGGCATCTCAAACTGAGCCTGTTCAGTGTGAGAAAGAGAGAAAAGATAGGAAAGAGATACCTACTTCCCCAGGGGAAAAAGCTCAAGCCTCAGGGACACCAGAAAAGGATAAAAACAATTTCACTTCAACCACTTTTCCCCCATCTCCAACTTCTCCTTTACCTCTTCTTCTCCACTGGAAGAAAATGGTTAATTCTAATACCGAAAAAGAAGAGGACTAAAGAGTGCCACTTCCTGAATAGGGAGGTGGGAGCTGGAATTTGTTTATCTTTTTAGCTCATCCAGGGGGTGGGAGTTGTTTTTGTTTTTGCATATATGTGTCATGAATAAAGTAGGGGGTTTTTTGTTTGTTTGTTTGTTTGTTTGTTTGTTTGTTTTTTAAAAGATGACCGGTAAGGGGATCTTAGCCCTTGGCTTGGTGTTGTCAGCACCACGCTCTCCCAAGTGAGCTAACCAGCCATCCCTATTTAGAATCCGAACCCGTGGCCTTGGTGTTATCAGCACTGCACTCTCCCGAGTGAGCCACGGGCCGGCCCTAAAGTTGTTTCTGAAAATAAAAATTGTTTGGTCTAAAAAACTAAAAAAAATAATAAAAATAGAGTACCACTTCTTTCTAGAACAGAGTGTCTCTTTACCTCAGGATCACGGTCCTTTTCCCGACAAGCTCGGACCTCATTGTACAGCTTGGAGGAGGAGATGGGAGCCAGAAAGGAAGTGTACTCCCCAGGGATGCTCACGCCATCATCTGCATAGCAGGAGGGCCATATTAATTCCAGAGGGAGGGAAATGTTGTGTCTATGCTAAACAAACGCTCAAACCTCCCACATCGAAACAGACCATGGCAGGAAGAGGCAGCTCAATACTGTCATTCCTAGGCCTGCCTGCTCCCAACTCCTGTCATGGAGAATTACACTTCTAGGTTAATTTACAGAGTCACACAAGATTAAAACTGAAGGAACATAAAATATTCTAATCTGGTGGTTCTTAACTTTTGTGGGGTCACGAAGCCCCACAAAAGTTCCTGATGAAAGCTAAGCCCAAGGTACATATTACATCAGCTCAGGGAGTCCACAGACCTTAAAGGTAAAGAATCTCTGCTCTAGCCCACTCCCCTCATTTTACAGATGTGAACACTGAGGTTCAGAGAGATGACTTCATTTGTTAAGGGCACAGAGGCAGTGAAGCAACAGTTCTCAAACTCATGATCTGATCCAAGCCCAACCCACCATTTCCTAAACCCTGTAACCTCCTCCCAGGTTGCTGCCCCACCCACCATCACCCCTCTTATACACCCCAACCTGGAGGCACCTCTTAGGAAATGCTGGGCTCCATCCAGGCACTCGGGTGACAGTTCATTATCAGCGA